CAACACCCTTTATGAATTTGGGTGTCTCTATATTGTACCGCAAACCGGTGAAACAACCACCGAATCTATTTTCATTTTTATCTCCCCTTTCGCTGGATGTATGGATTTATATGGCAACGGCTTATTTGGGAGTTTCGGTGCTTCTATTTATATTGGCCAAGTATGTTAGATGAAGAAACGATGTCTAGCAATTGAAATCATTGAAATTAATATTGAAAGAAGTTTATGTTAAAATATAACCTGAAATATGATTTAAACCTTCCAGATTTACACCTTATGAATGGCCTTACACCGATGCTCATGGTGAAAAAGTAGAAAATCAATTTACCCTACTTAACTGCATGTGGTTTGCTATCGGTTCTCTTATGCAGCAAGGCTGTGATTTCTTGCCAAGGTAAGTTCTTTAACAAATCTGTGCAGATCTTTTAAAGTAGTAAAAATTTTCCTTACTTTTTATAGAGCCTTGTCCACCCGTATGGTTGCTGGTATGTGGTGGTTTTTCACTTTAATCATGATTTCATCATACACTGCCAATTTGGCTGCTTTCCTAACTGTGGAACGCATGGATTCACCCATCGAAAGTGCTGAAGATTTAGCCAAACAAACCAGAATTAAATATGGAGCTTTAAAGGGTGGCAGTACCGCCGCTTTCTTTAGGGTATGAGTGTATTTGCTAGTAGTTTTTAGAACATTATTATTTAATTACGTTTAATTTATAGGATTCGAAAATATCCACCTATCAAAGAATGTGGTCGTTTATGGAATCAGCTAGACCTTCAGTTTTTACAGCAAGCAATGGTGAAGGTGTAGAAAGAGTTGCCAAAGGAAAAGGTGAGACAAGATCACAGTTTTTAATATATTGAGTGTAAAAGTTAAAAATGCCGATGGCATATTTTTGCGCCTTAAAAGCCATAAAAACGTAATTTTTAATGGACAACCTGAGAGGCGAAAAATCAAATTTGATGTCCAGCCAACAAGCCGAAACAAAACTAAAGCGGACTATTCATTATTTCCCTCTTTTTTTTTCCTATACCACTGTGCACCGTTCTGTTCTATCTTTTCGCCGATCGCAACATGTTGCAAAACCAATTTAAAACTATTTAGAAAATACTGGTTGAGAAGCTTAGACCCAACGCCTTGAAATCCTGACTTTTGCTCCGATCATGTCAAAAAACTTTGACATAAATTCGCTTTTTGCCTTCACAAATTAGCAGTTTTTTTGCTCGGAATCCATATGTTTCCAGAAATATAGGGAAAATTTTATACTAAACCAATGCTTCACAATAAACGCCCAAAATTTATTGAAATTATACGACCAATATAATCCAACTCTGAAAATTGTATTGAAATCGCTAATGTTAATCATAATTTATATTCCTTTAAATATTCCAATTTTCTGCCACTATAATTATTACAAAATTTCCCTACAGGTAACTATGCATTTTTAATGGAATCCACATCTATCGAATATGTCACCGAGAGAAATTGTGACTTAACCCAAGTGGGTGGTATGTTAGATACTAAATCCTATGGCATTGCAACACCACCGAGTAAGACATTAGAAATTATAATTATTTAAGAAATCTTTAATTTAAACTATAACTTTTCAGATTCTCCCTATCGCACTGCCATCAATAGTGTCATCCTTAAACTACAAGAGGAAGGCAAGTTGCATATTCTAAAAACAAAATGGTGGAAAGAGAAACGAGGCGGTGGCAAATGTCGTGTTGAAACATCGAAATCCTCTTCGGCGGCCAATGAACTAGGTTTGGCAAATGTTGGTGGAGTATTTGTAGTACTAATGGGCGGTATGGGTGTGGCTTGTGTAGTTGCAGTTTGTGAGTTTGTATGGAAATCACGAAAAGTTGCTGTTGAAGAACGTTTAAGTGCCATTTTACATGAATGAGAAAAGTCATAAACCCAAGATGAATGGGTTTAAAAAGTGATTACAATTCATGCAACAAACGAAAGGAAATCAAATGAAATCAATAACAAAAATCATTTAATAAACAAACAATGAAACAATATCAAAATTTTTTTCTCATCTTAAAAACTCAAAAAATATAACATAAATACATAACAATTATAAAACAGATAAATATTTTCAAAATCATCAATAAAATACTCATATAACTCAATGGATTTTCTAACATTTATAGTGGAACTTTGGTCCTAATATATAGGAACACATACATACATATATTGCAAGGACAGCAAATCGATTTAAATATAACACTCATTAATATTTGCATTTATATACATCTATTTATATTAACTAAATGGGAATTGTAACATAATTTACGATGTATGTAGTTCATTAGATAAATAATATTGTATTTAAGAAATGACAAAAATAAAAGTGATTGTAGTTTTGATTTATTATTTTAGTTAATTCTTTTGATTTTTTTGCATTTTCAAAACTATTATAAGCATTTAAGTACATAGTTTTATAAAATATGAAATTATAATAATTAGCATATAAAACCATTAAAAATGAAATGAAATAAAAATTAGTTTAAATTTCGGTACATTAAAATTTACTGTAAAACCAACAGAGTTAACCAATGGAACAAGAAAAATTATTTAAATATTAAAAAACAATTAAACAAAAAAAATATGATTGTTTTTATAAAGAATCCAAGATTATCTAGATATCGGTCCCAGCATTAATCTTCAAATATAACAACCGATTTCAAATGTCCAAATTTAATTCAATATAATTATAACTTCTAATGAAGTCATTCGTAAGTAATAAATGGAAATCTCGAAGATCTATCTAAAGTATTTCTTAAGCATATTTTCAACTCTTATATAGTAAATGTTACTTCTTTTTTGTATCGAATCATTACTAGGGAAGAATAATAGATTAGGACTTATTAATGTCAAAGTGCTTTACGTGAACACCTGCCGTGTTGGCCTATTTCAGGGTGATCATTTTCAACCACTGGGTGCGCTTCTGTGACGACTCACCATCGCCTCATTGTGCTTCTTATACGCAGGTGGCAATTTTGGAATTTTTGGTTGGAATTTTGGTTGGAATTTTGGTTGGAATTTTCGGTCCAGTATACGAGCACTTTGCTCAAGTACTTGAACTATCTAATCTCTGACCATTGCTGCCACTTTGCCTAACTTCCGAGATGCAAAAATATTACTTCCGTTTACAACCACGTAGATGGGGTGGCCTCTGTTGAGTCGGCAACAGCAAATAGAGACGTAACCGGTAGACCGAAGTACGAATCCATCAAATAAACCGAGATTTTGTTCTTACTCACAGAGGACACACTGTGGTAAATCTGGTATGAACAGAGTTTGCTCTGAACATACCTAGACAAGGAAGAAAAATTCAATGGTATCACTTGCATAAGATATCTTTCATCTTTCACCATTCAAACCTGCACAAGAGAACAACATACGACAGACTCACTCTAGATATACGGCCGGATGAGATACGCATACCCCTACATTGATCCTGCATCATATACACATATTTAACACCAACTCAATTCCAATGCTTAGTTCCACAGTCACTCCTCTGTGTCATTCGGCAACAGCACCGAAATTATCCCGAAATATAGATTTCACTATGCATCAGTCTTTTAACCGCCATTTCCTCTTTCCACGAATTTGGGTTTAAATCACAGCCACTACGTGGATTCCGAAGGAACCAACTGACCAGCCAGGACAAGTCATGCGGGCAACTGGCTACCCGTAGTACCAGATTATTTGGTTCTCTGGTTCGACCCCATGTCAAATCATTCCAAGGAAAGTCCGAGGAGTTATTTGAAATCACCAGTTTATAGCCCCGGCAGATTAGAGGTACTGGTAGCACCAGTAGCTCTGTCTGCAATACACCAAGATTGGGTCCTCATCAAGGAAACATGCCCCAGGGGCCACCATTATGCGAAACTCAAGATATCATAAGTGAAGCCCGGCTAACGACAAAGCCCAAAAACATGGGACCAATGTATTGCTCTATATTTGGAGCCGATGCAATCAGGCCAGAGGGTACCTTATCGAACACATTTTTCTTCGTTTAAAGCCGAAAAATATGCCGAATATGCGACTAGAGATGAAACCGTATTTATAATATAACAACGCTCAGACACATGTTGCAAGCCAATTAAAAACTAAGGTGTTTAGGAGGTTTTGCTTCACTTAACTTATAGTACAGACCTTGCCCCTACTTCTTTGTTATTTCAATTTGTTGAAATTTCTGTTTATAATAAATCACACATTTTATTCATGCAATTAAAAAATCACACGTGATTTACTTTAAATTTTCCAATAAATTTAGCAATATTTAACTCAATTAAAAAAGCAAAGTGACAACCGAAAGTATAATTATTTTTACAACAACTATAAAAGTAATGAAGAATTGAAATAGTGCCAAAAAACCATATACGAATCTAATGCACACTTCAACTACACTTAAGAAACTAAGATTTCATACAAAATATCTCATAACTTTAAATAAAATAATAAAAATATAGATGCAAAAAAATTCTTAAATATAGACACTTACTTTTTTATATAAATAATAGAAAATAAATCCAATATCTATGTTTGTCTAGAGTTGCATCAATCAAACGGAATCGACCACCAAATATAGGCCAAAACAACACAAACAATAAACACCTGTGTTCTATTAACTTTTCAATGTTAACGTTTTCAGACGTTCTCTAACCGCAATATGTCAATCAAACCTACAAAACTACTAGACTAACTACTGGCAACAACAGCAAAAAAAGAATAATAGACAAAACTATTTAGGATATTTTGATTTTACCCCAGTATTATTCTCACTTTCAATTTCACCTGTGTTCGGTCATTGATTCTATAACAATTTTTCATTAAATTTTTCATTATAATCTTCCTTGAACTCACACGCAAAATTAAATTGTTTTTCCTTTTATTGTTTTGTTTCAAGTTTCTAAAGGACTATAGAACACTCATGGGTGTTTAATTTTTTCAGTTAAGTTTTAACATTTAAGCGGTAAACAATGAAACTCTTAATAGTTTTAGAAATTTTTCATATTTTACAAATATGTTTCGCTCAATATAATGATTATTCATCGTTTTTGAGTTCGAATGCATCGTTGGCAGTTGTGGTCGATCAAGAATATATGCGTCAGCATAATGAGAATATTATGGCACATTTTCAAAAGATTCTAAGTGATACGATACGTGAAAATTTAAAAAATGGTGGTTTAAATGTTAAATATTTTACTTGGAGTGGTATACGTTTAAAGAAGGGTAAGTTGGGGAAATATTGGAAGAAATAGTGAGAATGAATTCTCAAAATCTTATGAGAATAAAACAATTGAACCTAATTTAAAAGCTTGAATAATTATCGGTCGATTATCATACATAAATATAAAGTGTGGTCCAATTACAAGTATATTTTTATGTCATAAAGTGTCTTTTAATAGGTACAACATTTTTGAAAATCTGTGAAGTTGGTTGCACTTCCACAAAAAACATATTTTCGGACATTTTAGTTGGTTTTGTTAATATGCCAGAAAAACGTAATGGTTTGACGCAGTTTTCATGTCGTCGATATGAAGTGCTATTCAGGAGAAACCCCCACGTATGTGGTGTGTTGTGTTAGAACTAGTGATTGATTATGTGAGTGAGAATAAAGTAAGAACATTCGATTTTAATCTCCTTTTCTCACAAGTAACAAAAATAACAAATATTCCATTTAATACATTGTGCTTTCTACTCGTCAATCGATCATAATTGGGTGTATTCTTAATGAAATACTTGTGTTACTTATAAATTTTCGAGTATTGGAGACAACTTATGTAATTTCGGAGAAACTCGCCTTCCATTGTTATATCGATAGAACTATGGAAAACACCCCACATTGCGTTAATGCTAAAGAGATTCAATAGAAATATTAAATACGCTTGAAACACGCCAATGCATCGGCCAAAACATGAAAGTTATATCGCATTTTCGGTCCGATATAAGTAGTGAAAATTTTAAGAAGTTCTGACACTTGAATGCTGCTTTCGACACCTGAAAGATGTGTTTATTTAGCGACCTTTATTCTCATGCCCAACATATGAAGCGGTCCTGATTAGTTAATATCTACTCCATCGTCGTACGTCGGGTACAATCGTGAATGTCTCTGCAGAGACCCTTTAGCAGACATAGCACGAACAATAGTGTTATCATCCGGCTTGGCTTTGTCAATTCACCGTCCAGAAGCTGAGACCTTTCAGACAGCGTTTAAGGACCGATTCTATGACAGAAACAAAGCACACCCTTAAGGCAAATATCGTCCGATACAGACGTGAGATGGAATTAGAGATCATTTACAAATTATTATAAAATTGGACTGACAGGAATAGCTACTATATCCTAGCAGTTCAACAAAGATTCAAATCATTTGAAAATTGCAGTAATTTCCACTTCAAACGTCTAATCACCTGATTGACTCTAATTCGTTATTTGTCTCGAATGAACTCCTTGAAAACGAGGGTGAATACAGTTGTTATTTCTGTAAGCGGAGACGGTCGTCTGATTATCCCTTTGTATTCTATGGAGTGATGCACTTCATCATATTCATCTGAGTAGTCGCGTAGAGCACGAACAATAGTGTTATCTTCCGTCTTGGCTGAGTCAATTCACCGTCCAAAAGCTAAGACCTTTCAGACAGCGTTTAAGAGCCGATTCTATGACACAAACGAAGCACACCCTTAAGGAAAACAGACGTAAGATGGAATTAGAGATCATTTACAAATTCTTATAAAATTGGACTGACAGGAACTCTTTGAAAACGAGAGTGAAGACAGTCGTCATTTCAGCAAGCGAGAGCGGAGACAGCCGTCACTTTATTGTACCCAAGTAATCTAGATAGTAGCCTCTTTAAACAAATTAAAAGAAAATTTTCATTGTATTGACTCATTTCTTATTGTCTTTTTGTATTCTATGGAGTGATGCACTTCCTCCTATTCATATGATTAGTCGAGTGCCTAGCAGTAACCGTAAGTGGTAATTTAAATAGTGGGACTATCCTAAATATATATAAGCCAGCAGCGAATGAATGAAATACCAAAGTTTAGTTAATTTATATATTCACTTAAAAGAAACTTTTATTTATTTGGACCACCCTTATTCACTTTTAAAACAAGCGATATAGCGTCAAGAATGTTGTAAACTATAAGAAGTGATATTTTTATGGCTTATGACAGCTTGTGTGATAAAATGAACTGATTTATTTTTCAGAATTTCTAGCCGCCATGACTGTAATGGATTGTGAAACTACTTGGAAATTCTTTGAAACTACGCGTTCCTCATCGGTATTACTAATATCAATAACTGATTCAGATTGTCCTCGGCTACCGCTAAATGAAGCTATAATGGTAATGTAAAATATTTGGTAAAATTTCGTCTGTACACTTAATTAACTACCTTTGCAGATACCCTCCGTTGGCATTTCGAAAGAATTTCCACAAATGATGTTAGATGCTAAAGTTCAAAAATTACTTAAATGGAAAACTGCTATCGTAATGATGGATGAAACGATAGTAAATCAAAATACTAAATTAGTAGAATCGGTGGTGCACGAAGGCACAAATAATATTGTACCAATTGCACTTTATCTCTATGGTATTAATGATCAGTTGAGATCACAAAAGAAACGACAAGCTATTCGTGAGGCTTTGCAACCATTTCAGACAAACTCTCAAGATTCACATAATTTTATAATATTTTCCAAGTTTTACGAAGATATTATAGAAGTGGCAGAAAATATGAATATGTTTCATGCGAAAAATCAATGGTTGTTTTTCGTTCTAGAAGAACATCGGCGAGATTTTGATGCATTAGCGGTGACACAAAATTTACAGGAAGGAACGAATATAGCATTTGTTTTGAATGAGACTACATCGGATTGTGTGGTAAAATTTAAAAAGATTTATACTTGAGAAAATGGAATAATTTTTCAAATTTATTTTTAGATTTCCCTTAATTGTACGATTGAGGATGTAAGTAGAGCTTTTGTTTCATCGATATCTAAACTTATCACTGAAGAACAGTCTATATATGGTGAAATATCTGATGAAGAATGGGAGGCCTTGAGATATTCGAAAAGTGAAAAACAAAATGAGATATTGAGGATAATGAAGGTGATTTGAGAATTTAAATATTCTAATAGTGATAAATACCTAGTCTAATGCTGATGAATACAATCAAACTTAACAATCGTTTATTAACATGTTATAGTCAGTTTGAATCAAGGCTCTAATGAAATTCTCTTTTCAGGAATATTTAAAAGATCATAGTAGATGTGAAAGTTGTTCTAAGTGGCGCATTGATACTGCCATAAACTGGGGTAAATCTCAAGAACACAAAAGAACTCTAAGAGGTAATATAATTTAAATCATGAAGTAATACATAGAAATAACGAGAATTTCTCTCCCAAACATTTTATAAACTATGTAGTTTTTTAACAAATTTATCTTTGATCACAAAATTCTTAGTTTCTTCCAATAGTCCCAATAGAAATTTTGAATTTACAAATGTGGGTTATTGGTCACCCTTATTGGGGTTTGTTACACAAGATTTGGCTTTTCCTCATGCCATACATCATTTTCGTAATATAACTTTGGATATTTTAACAGTACATGTAAGCAAAAATGAGATAAAGTTGAATATATATATTTATTTCTAGAGCATTTATTAATTCCAGAATCCTCCCTGGCAAATATTGAAAAAAGATAGTAGAGGCAATATAATCGAACATTCGGGAATTGTTATGGAAATTGTCAAGGAATTATCGCGCATGTTAAACTTTAGCTATAAACTTCATGATGCTCATGCTATCACAAACGATGAACAAATGGGACAAAATGAAACAGTAGGTTTTATTTGGGTTTTGGTCTAATAAATGGTTTATATATATTTTAATTTGTAGGACTTATTGGGAACACTTACATACATTATACCCTATCAAGTGGTTGAATTGCTTCAATCGAATAAAGTAAGTTTTTGTGATATATAAAAAGTGATATAATCAATACATATTTCTATCTGTATCTGAAAGCTATTGTGGGTTACTGAATGATCATTACCCAATATTATAATATTTTCAAATTTGAATCATTTCATTTTTACAGTTTTTCATGGCTGCTGTAGCTGCAACAGTAGATGAACCAGATAAAAAACATTTCAATTATACAATACCTATAAGTATTCAGAAATATTCATTTTTATCTCGAAAACCAGATGAAGTTAGTCGCATATATTTATTTACGGCACCATTTACATTAGAGGTAATATATACTTTAAGCAGATAAATGTCTTAAAAACAAAATGATATATAAAGTAATAGATCCTTATAAAAAAACCCCTTTCTTTTTCAAATACTTTTTAGACTTGGGCTTCATTAATTGGTGTAATTTTAATAACATCACCAGTACTTTATGTCATAAATCGTTTAGTACCGACGCAACATTTAAAGGTTAAGGGTTTTTGTACCATTAAAAATTGTTTTTGGTATATTTATGGGGCTTTATTGCAACAGGGTAATGGATATCATTTTAAAGTTTTGATTTACATATTAAAATATTATTTATATTAATTGAAGGTGGCATGTACTTACCTCAAGCTGATAGTGGTCGTTTAGTTATTGGCTTTTGGTGGATTGTCGTTATAGTTCTGGTTACAACATATTGCGGTAATCTAGTAGCATTTTTAACGTTTCCGAAATTTCAACCGGGTTTAGATTATTTTTTTCAACTCTTTAAACACGGCGAGTATGAGCAATTGGGTTTACGTAATGGCACATTTTTCGAAAAATATGCAATGGTGAGTTAATTTTTAATTTTTTTAATTCCTAGTATTTATGCAAATCGCACAAATTGTATTCAAAATATCACTTTTACATACATATTTCCAATATAACATTGTAGTTCTCTAAATTCTAAATTTTATATTTATTGTATTGCCAACATTTATTTGATAAAAACAATTAGTGACTCCGCTAACAATATAATGTGCTAAGAAAGTGTAACTAAACCAGGAAAAGAGATAGTCAGGACAAAAACCTACTAAGCTAACTAAACACAGCTATGTTTTTTTTAACAATAGGGGTTGGCAAATGTTTTTAAAAAAGAAAACTGGTTAAACTATTAAATTAATATTGATAAAAATTTATATTTATAAACTTGTTGTTAGACTAGTCTATAGTCTAGTCTATAGTCTAGTCTATATTCTAGTCTATAGTCTAGTCTATAGTCTAGTCTATAGTCTAGTCTATAGTCTAGTCTATAGTCTAGTCTATAGTCTAGTCTATAGTCTAGTCTATAGTCTAGTCTATAGTCTAGTCTATAGTCTAGTCTATAGTCTAGTCTATAGTCTAGTCTATAGTCTAGTCTATAGTCTAGTCTATAGTCTAGTCTATAGTCTAGTCTATAGTCTAGTCTATAGTCTAGTCTATAGTCTAGTCTATAGTCTAGTCTATAGTCTAGTCTATAGTCTAGTCTATAGTCTAGTCTATAGTCTAGTCTATAGTCTAGTCTATAGTCTAGTCTATAGTCTAGTCTATAGTCTAGTCTATAGTCTAGTCTATAGTCTAGTCTATAGTCTAGTCTATAGTCTAGTCTATAGTCTAGTCTATAGTCTAGTCTATAGTCTAGTCTATAGTCTAGTCTATAGTCTAGTCTATAGTCTAGTCTATAGTCTAGTCTATAGTCTAGTCTATAGTCTAGTCTATAGTCTAGTCTATAGTCTATAGTCTAGTCTATAGTCTAGTCTATAGTCTAGTCTATAGTCCAGTCTATAGTCTAGTCTATAGTCTAGTCTAGTCTATAGTCTAGTCTATAGTCTAGTCTAGTCTAGTCTAGTCTATAGTCTAGTCTATAGTCTAGTCTATAGTCTAGTCTATAGTCTAGTCTATAGTCTAGTCTATAGTCTAGTCTATAGTCTAGTTTATAGTCTAGTTTATAGCCTAGTCCATAGTCTAGTCTATAGCCTAGTCTATAGTCTAGTCTATAGTCTAGTTTATAGTCTAGTCTATAGTCTAGTCTATAGCCTAGTCTATAGTCTAGTCTATAGCCTATTCTATAGTCTAGTCTATAGTCTAGTTTATAGTCTAGTCTATAGTCTAGTCTATAGTCTAGTCTATAGTCTAGTCTATAGTCTAGTCTATAGTCTAGTCTATAGTCTAGTCTATAGTCTAGTCTATAGTCTAGTCTATAGTCTAGTCTATAGTCTTGTCTATAGTCTAGTCTATAGTCTAGTCTATAGTCTAGTCTATAGTCTAGTCTATAGTCTAGTCTATAGTCTAGTCTATAGTCTAGTCTATAGTCTAGTCTATAGTCTAGTCTATAGTCTAGTCTATAGTCTAGTCTACAGTCTAGTCTATAGTCTAGTCTATAGTCTAGTCTATAGTCTAGTCTATAGTCTAGTCTATAGTCTAGTCTATAGTCTAGTCTATAGTCTAGTCTATAGTCTTGTCTATATTCTAGTCTATAGTCTAGTCTATAGTCTAGTCTATAGTCTAGTCTATAGTCTAGTCTATAGTCTAGTCTATAGTCTAGTCTATAGTCTAGTCTATAGTCTAGTCTATAGTCTAGTCTATAGTCTAGTCTATAGTCTTGTCTATATTCAAGTCTATAGTCTAGTCTATAGTCTAGTCTATAGTCTAGTCTATAGTCTAGTCTATAGTCTAGTCTATAGTTTAGTCTGTAGTCTAGTCTATAGTTTAGTCTATAGTCTAGTCTAGTTAGTCTATAGTCTAGTCTATAGTCTAGTCTATAGTCTAGTCTATAGTCTAGTCTATAGTCTAGTCTATAGTCTAGTCTATAGTCTAGTTTATAGACTAGTCTATTTTCATTTTATAACGGCAAAAAATTACAAATTACAACTTTATTAAGTTACCTTATGAATTTTCTAATTAAATTCCCAATATCTCTTTATGTCAAAAAATAGAAACCTTTTATAACAATATGGCTTCACTGAAAACAACAGAGAGTCTCTTAACATTACATTACAACAAATTTTTTAAAGTAGTTTTAAGCCGCTAAAAACAATTGCACTCTTTAACTAACACTTTTATTACATGAAGTAACAATTAAATTTTATATTTAGCTAATTTTTAATTTAGTGTCTTTCATTTAAACACAATTTATTTAATAAAAACAATGCACTATGCACAACTAACGAAATACCGCACTAATAGAAGATGACTAAACTAAAATGTCATAAAGAGATGATGCCACTCTGTGCTGTCATGTTATGTTAAGTTATGAGGCTGCCATATGCTTTGATCAACAACCTTTTCCGGCGAGCCACTAATAGGAAATTACATAAACGTTATTTTGAAACCAAATTCAAACAGATATTTCATAAATCGCTTAAAAAATTGTTTGTATTTGTATTAAAAGTTAAATTTATATATTTTTATGACACTAGTTTATATTGACAGCATTTTCTCCTATAAAAAATATTTTTTTATTAAAAAAAAAACACTTTTTTATTTTAATTTATATTTTTGGTTTATTTCCTTTTTATTGTTTCTTTTTATACAATTTTTATTAAAAGTTTTAAAATTAACTTTTTTTATTACTTTTTCTATAATTTCTTTATTTTAATTTTCAAATTTAAATTCAAATTCAAAAATTCTAACGGCCAATTGCTTAAATTACTAAAGTAATGTTGCCCTATGTTTTCAATTTATAAAGTTGCCATACTTGACCTTTGTCTTGTGTTAGCACATTTTTTTCACATATGGCATCACCAAAAAACAACCTAGCGTCTCTTACATTTATTTTCGCTGACAAAATTTTGCAAAGTGATTTTCTTTTTTAATTTCATTTGCACGAAGAAACTAACACTTTACCTCGATACAGTAACATTTCGATTTTATTTTTATTATACTTTTATTGTTGTTTCTGAACTTTAAACACTATTTATTTGCAAAAAAACACTTTACACTACGGAAAACGATACACCGGGCTAAAAGTACGCGACAAACTGACAGCTGTTGACATATTTGCAAATGGTTGCCAATCAGTTTTAGTTTAACATTATCCAATTGGATAATGTTTGCTAATTTGAAATTTAAAAAGAACGTTGAATTTGATATGAAATTTAAAAATATATATTTAGAACACTTTGACATGGAAAATTATTATGTTGTCAATCGGGAAAACATTTCTAAAATTAAAAAATAGGATTTTCACTAAAACAAATCTATGAAGTGAAAAATTTTTTTTTAAATTTAAATCTTAATTTCTTCCAGGATTGAAAAAAACAGGTGTATATGAGAAAACTTAAGATTTAGAGAAAAAATTGGCCAATACTGTTGGTATTTTGAATAAATAAAAATCAATAGCCCCAATATCCAACATTATATTTTTTAATAATTGCTATTATCCTAATCATGTTTAGTTATATTACCGTTATAATTGATAAATCTCCTAAATTACTTGTCATTACTGTATAAAAGTTTAGACATTTGCTTTTTAAGTTGCCCCATAGGCTTTAAAACCAATTTTAGGATTGTCTTGGCTACTGAAAAGTTTTTAAGTTCTGCATCAAAATCTCTGCTACCTACAAATTCGATGAGTTCTTGAAGTGACCGTATTGTTGAAATCTACATTATTGAGGAATACTTTTGATCACAATATGATAGAATAAATGTTTTCAATAGATCCTTGTACCCATATTTATCTAATGGAATTTATTAGGGGTATTAGAACAATTCCATTAAAATCAAACATTCCCCATTATTCTTTAAAATTTGATTTATTTTTTGGCAAATTTCAGAATGACTTCTTTTACTTCAAGAGGTTTTCGGTCCATTTTTGAATTATTATGATCGAAACAGAACTTTTTAAACAGCTTATTTACTTTTGCCATTTTACCACAGAATTGTTTAAGTTATTGTAATCGGCAATTTTCCTTTAAATAATGATTTTCGAGCCATTTGGGATAATATAGTATTCCCAGTTACCCTAAACATCCTTTTAGAGCGATTTTATTTAAAGGACTACAGGATAACCAACAGTTGGAGAGGTGTTTTTATTTTTACCAGGCATCCCAGGAATATGTCTCGTATATGTATATCCATACAGATAGATCCATATCCGTAAATCGCTACATTACGGAAATCAAAATTTAGCTTTCAAAATTTATAAAATGTAAATTTTTACAAATAGTCGACGAACTTTTAAATTTCTAATAATTGTTTCTAACTGAACCGACATTACGTTTTTATAATTATAATTCCTATAGAATTTTAGTTCAGGGGCAAATTTAATCAAATTAATTTTTAATTTCCCCTACAAACTAACAAAATATCTTCCTCTAGACATCAACCCGCAATGAATTTCACAAATATTTGGAACTGGCCACCATTTACAATAACATGAAAGAGGAAAATATAGAGGCAGTCAAAGATGGTGAACGTGTGAATATCGATTGGCGCATTAATTTGCAATTGATAATACAAAATCATTTCGAAAAAGATAAAGAATGTAAATTTGCTCTCGGCAAGGAGAATTTCCTAGACGAACAAATAGCTTTAATGGTGCCCAGCAATAGTCCTTATTTAAATTTGATAAATGAGCAAATAACTAGACTCAGTCAAATGGGTTTCATAGAAAGATGGCATCAAACAAATTTACCCTCAATGGATAAATGCAACGGCCGAGGAGTGCTTAGACAAATAACAAATCATAAAGTTAATTTGGATGATATGCAGGGATGTTTTCTAGTGCTACTACTGGGTAAGTTTTTCAACTAAAAACCTAATAAAAGAAAATAAGTCAACTAATGTTTCATTTAAAGGTTTCCTATTGGCTTTCTTTGTTATTTTAATTGAGTATTGGCTGCATATTTGGCATTTACATCGCAGTGGTATAAATAAAACTTTCTTTTCCAATTGAATTGTAATAAATAATAAAACTTATTTGAATCTATTAGTTTTTTGTTTGTTTTTATGTATTTGTTTACTTGGAAAAAAGCTAAAATGATTTTTAGTTTTGCATATAAACTAAAAATAGTTATCTGTGAGACACATTATCTGACGCTTAAGCAGAGTTGGCGTTGGGGCCACGACGACGACCGAAACCGGGTACAATGTTGACGAAACGACGGTTGTATTGGATACGTCTCTTAGCACGACCGGTCTTCTTCTTCTTCTTTTCTTGCTTCTCTACCTTGGGGGTTTGACCCTTAACTTTACCGGCACGAGCCAAAGAACCGTGCACTTTACCACCCAACATTGGGATGGTGATATCCAATTCGGAGGAGGACAAGGCAGAGATGGGGGTTTCGTTGGCCAAAGCATTGCCTTCACAGTTCAAAGTGAATTCCTCAATATCATAACCATGGAGTTGGGCAATTTGAGCCTATAAACAGAAAACAACATAAACAAATACAATTAATAAACAACAATTCGAATGTATGTAAAACACAAAAAGTGAGGTTATATTGAGTGCAAATTAAATTTGCACTCCAGACATACCTTAACGGCAGCAATGTTAGCATCTTGTTGAACCTCAAGGGTTTCAACACATTCCAAACCACGTACAAACAATTGCATGTTGATGTGCTCTACAATTATCATAAAATAAATTAAATTAGTATTGAAGTATTTATCCACTTGTATTTTGCTTATCTATAGCAATGTCACTTTTGGTGCGCCACCAACAAAACACGTGTATATCTATTTTTCTTGAAATTCCCTCAAACGCTTATTTGCTTTTAGCAATTTGTTACTACACTAGTTTAAACTTAATTTGTTTTTTTAAATTTCGCAACTTTTTTAGCATTTTTTTAAGAAATTCTAGTAAAATTTTATAAAAATTATTATTTTACCTTGTCACTTGTGTGAGGATTTACGAAAAAAGAAAGATGGCCGTATATTTTCGAAAATGTGTCATTTTTTCGTTCGAGTCTCGTTGTTTCGAAATGTCAAATGTTCGAAAACAGTGTTGCATTCTGCGAGTAGTTATACAAACACAGTGTTGTAGTTAAGTGATTAAACAGTGATGTGTGTGTGCAGCATTATTAAATAGTTATTTGCAAATTGTGTTGTATATAAATAATTGACTTATTTTTAATAAATAATGCCTTCTTTAATTGCGTTCTATAAATCGACTTTCGTAGAATTGAACAATCAACTTTTTGTTTGTACAAAAGGGTCAGTAAGTCGACTATTTTGTAAAAAACTGGACAAGTCGACATGGTAAATAATATTAAGAAATTTAGAAAGAGATATTGTTGTGTAGAAATTAGGGTTCTATAAATCGACTTTCGAATAATCGAAACAAAGTCGAAGTCGACTATTTTGTTCCAAAAAGTCGAGAAAAGTCGGAAAAAGTCGAAAAGTCGGAAAAAGTCGAAAACTCGAAAATTGTAGAAACAAGTCAAAAATAGTCGAACATTTTAAAAAAGTGGAAAAAAAGTCAAAAACTCTAAAATGGTCGGAAAAACTCGAAAAAAGTCAAAAAATAGTCGAAAAAAAGTCGAAAGAAGTCGAAAATAGTCAAAAAGTTGAAAAAAGTCGAAAAGCCGAAAAAAGTCGAAGAGTAGAAAAAAAGTCGGAAAAAGTCGCCTATTTATAAAATACTTATAGTCGAAAAGTCTAAAAGTCGACTTTTAATTAAATGAAAAAGTCGAAAAATCGACTTTTAATAAAATGCGAAACTAAATGAAATTATATAGTAGAAATTATGAATTAAAAAGTTAATTTTTTGACTGGTTCATTTCATAAAAATCTACTTTTAAATTTTCATTTTTTTTACGACATTCTACTTCCCTGAGGTAAAAATCTTTTAATTCTTTTAGTTAATTCCTTGATGATAATACGTATAATTTTAAAAAAAGTTCGAAAATTTTCTTCTACAGTTTAAAAAAATCGACTTTTCGACCTTTTGCAATATAACATTGACTTCCGACTTTTTTCATATTTTACGACTTTTATCTACAAAGTCGATTACATTTATTCTAACAAGATAGTCGATTTTGTTAGGGCAAAATAGTCGACTCGAACTTATTCGATAAAAACTAGATTATAAATCCTATACGAAAATCGTTTTGTAGAACCCTAAATAAAGGTTGCCATATCACTATTGTAATATTCGAAATAAATTAGAAAGTGTGAAGTTAACAACAGTTTCTACAAAAAGTTGATTAATTTTAACAATTACGGGTTTAATTAAAACTTTGGATTTAGCAAAATAACTAGATTTTCATGTTAATTATCACTTTATTGTTTAATTTGTTTGTTGTTTTTTTTTCTTATTTAAATATATATGTATATATTATTTATAGAAAAACTTATAATTATAAATACAAATATTTATATCTTTGTTTTTTATTATTATATAGATTTTTACTAATAAACAGATTTTTGTTTTTTTTTATAACTTATATACTTACAGTTACAATTTATATGTATAATATATATATGGAGATTAGGCATACACATGCTTTTTTCTTAAATATTTACAAATGAGATTTTCCACAATATATGTATAATTAGAACTAAACAAAAAAATATTAATTATATATTTTTTAAAATAATAAATTGTTTAAACTAATATAAGATTAAATAACTTACAATTACAGAAGATAACAATTTAAATAAAAAGTGGTTGTTAGTAAATAAGATATTTAAAAAATGTAATATATAATTTAAAGAATAAATAAAATGTTTGTAATTTTTAAATAGATATAATATAAAAATAATAAATTAAAATTAAATCATAAATAAAAAATCAAAATTTTAATATAAAATTATTAATAAGTTAAATAGATTTTATATATTTTTAGTAGATATATGTATTTGTTTTTATAAAAATGGCTCAGCCATATTTATTTTAATTAAATTTCTATATCAAATAGCATTGCAACAATAGAAATTAATAGAAAAACTTATTGTTTGTAGATTTTTTGTAGCGGTGGCTGAAGAAGAAGTTTCTTTAGAAGTTTTTGAAATGATCAAAAACTTTAAAGGTTAATGCACATAATCATTGTTTATATAATGTTGGGGCTCAACTATAACGCTGGTATAGTGGGGTCCATTGACATTTTTAAAGGTTTCCGTAAAACTATTCGCTACAATATGTTGTTGCGGCTGTTGTTGTTGCTGATGCTGGTTTTGATTGGAGTGTTGTGGATGTTGCTGTAGTTCCAATTGTGTTAGAGAGTGATGTTGCGCTGTAGATTGATGATCTAGTGGCGTTAAATGGTGGCCTTGTAAGGGAGAAACAAGTTCGGTTAATGTGTTGTGTTGTATATGATGTTGTTGCTGATGTTGCTGCTGTTGTTGTTGCTGATGATGCAGTTGGTGGGAACTACTATCTGAGAAATAATTCAATTCAAAACTATGACTGAGATCACTGTAGGTGGTTTGCGGTGAAGTACCATTAACTATGGAAGCATTACCCGTTGACAGTTGTCTTTCACTCTCTGAACTACTCGAACAACTATTCGAATTGGCCGAGAAGGGACGTATCAAAGAGGCAGCTGTTACATCTACGGTGGCATCATAATAATAATTGTTATTACCGTAATATGAATTGCTGCCAGTTGTGGTATCGGGATATTGATGCATGTGTTCATGAGCCAAAGAACTGCTAGAACTCACTATAGACTCATTGACCGGATATAATTGGGTATAGCTAAGATTGGCCGGAGGCTGATGAGGATCCATAATATCTAGTATGTGTTGTTGTTGTTGCTGTTGTGGATTTATTGCTTGGTGTTGCATATGTTCGGTTTGGTGGTGGTGATGATGATGATGGTGATGCTGGTGCGGGTGATGTTGTTGTTGCTGTAGCGGCTGATGTTGATGATCATTATGAAGAGCTGTTTGCTGTTGTGGTGTGGCTGGAGTGGCTTGATGTTGACTTAGGTAGCCATTATTGTTACTACTACTTGAACTACTATTTGTACTTAAAATTGGTGTCACTGCTGTTGGCAATTGACCCACCGTCGACTCGTAGCAGGCCTCCAATTTAGGACTTGTACTCAAAACGCTGGGAGTTAATCCGCTTGCAGTTGTATGTCTCAGCACAGAGTTGGCACTATTGTTTAGTGCTGAAACTGAATGTGGTACATTGGCAACGGCTGCTGCATGACTGGCATGTAGGGCTGGTGTTGGTATGGGAGCTGGCGTTGAGATGGGTTCAGTTTTGATAACACCCGTTTGTATTTCATTAAGTACTAAGTCTTTGGCCTCTTGTTCACTAAAATTGTTTAAAAAAACGTTGGAAATTTAGTTAAAAATTAATAATTAATTAATAAGACGGTGCGATAAAATTATATAGATATCTAGAGTTTTTAATATACCCCGAAAATTGGCAGTTTTTTCCGGAAAACATATTTTTAATCGTTATCGGACTAAAACATTTTTGTATCAAATTTCTTTAATATAATTTTATTTTTTATTAAATTGAGAATTTTTAAAATTTATAGAAAAGATTTTAAAATTTAATTAAAATTAATCGAAAAATGTTTATTAATTGAGTGTTTAGCAAAAGTTGTCTATAAATGTCATTGAATCAAGACAGACGTTCAGACTGACATAACTTAATTGAATCTAACCCGATTGTTCACTCTTGTGCTTTAAGATTAGAATTTCACTAAATTTATCACTCTGAAAAATCACCTTAAAACTTACCTTAAAACATAATTTACACTAACAATGCAAACTTGTCGCGACGAACGACTATTGTGCACTAAGGTGGCATAGGATTGCACCCAAACCCAACCGCCACCCTTTGTTAGAAAACGATAATATTTGGTGGTAACTTGTCCTTTATACAAAACTGTAAATAAACAAATGAAATAAAAATAAAATAAATTTCGAAATTCCAAGCAAAACAATGAACCTATGCAATTTCCAAAAAGGATTAAACGCTTATCACAAGTTTAAATGTTTTGTTAAATGTTTTGTTAAAGTACAAGTTCTAATAAAAACAATAACAATTAAAATAAACGTGCTAAACATTTTAGAAACAATAACACAAAAATTTAAATTAAAACAAAAAAAGTGGTTGGAAATTGCCGAGTTCATATTAGGTACATAATAATATTTTATGGTAAAAAGGAAGCACTACTACTTACGTATTTGATGTGATATACGCATGTTCACTATATCCTGCACATGTATATACTGATACAAAGTCTTCTCAATAAGTTCTTGAGGTTCATAACCAGTAAGTTGTGATACTCTGTAAAAGAAGAGAAAAATTATTAAAAATAATAACAATATACATATTATGTTTACCTAACTTTAATTCAATTAAAATACTAAATAAATTTCTTTTCTTTCATAAAAATACCAATAATTTTAAATGATACTTGAAAGGATAATGTTTGTTAAAGAGGAGGGAGGCTGAGATTTTATGCATAATGAAAACAATATGCTTTTTGTTATTTTTCTTTTGTTCCCTGTTTTTGCCGTTGTTATTGTTGTTTTGTTAACATCATAAGGGTAATTGTGCGTTTAAAAGATTGTGTTTCATTTTTTTTTTGTTGCTTTTCTTCCTTTCCCTTCAATTTGTTTTTACATTTAAACCGAATAATTTTCACACTCATACTTCTTCCTCTTGCTTTTATGGGATTTTGTTTGTTGTTGTTGCTGTAGAAAGATTGCATGAATGAATGTTAAAATCAAAGTTGTAGACACATTTTCAAGTGGGAAATGATTTGTTTGCTTTTGTTGTTTGGTTTGCTGGGTTTCATTCTTTCTTTCTGTATTGTATTGTTGTTTTGTTAAGCTTTTTCTTTTTATTAAGGGGGAGTTAAAGGGGATTTTCTAGGATTTTTATCGTGCCCATGCTGAGTGGGGTGTTGTGTGTATGTGTGGATTTTTTTGCTGTTGTTTTTATTTAGTTTTTTTTTTGTAAAAGCATTGAGAGTAAAAATGGCTGCCGTTTGTTTAAGTAAGTGTTAACGAAAGTGTGATGATTACATATTTACATTATATTAAATTTCCATAATAAAGGAAAAATGTGTAATTGAAATTTAATAAAAAAAAATGAAGCTATTTTTTAATAAAAATACTTTCATATTAATAAAACTACAATGTAATCAATAAATTTAGGATCTATAGCAACTAGGGGTGCGAAAGTTCTCAATAAATTTGAAATTTATAAACAAAATTTTGAAATTTACAAAATAATTTCTTTCTTCAAGTTATTCGATTCTTTTTTGCACACTTACCTAGCATCTAAAAATATTAATTTCAAATCCATATGAGCTCTAAACATAAACATATTTTGATGTAGTTTTATTTCCGTAATCGCAGATGTAGGCAGGGAATGACCAACAGCTACGAGGCCAAGATTTTGTATATAACCACCTTGACCATCACCATAGTCGGGATAAATGCGGGCTTTCAAATAACCGGAACAGTGAATAACCTTAATAGAAACAAATGGAATACAATTAATCCATATATTTATAAATAAAATTTTCCAAAAAAAAAAAAAAAACTACCTTATAACCGGAAGTGGTTAGACCGGCATTACGTTTGGCCAGAACACATTTCATACGCAGGAAAAATTGTTTCTCAATTTCAATGGTATGACAGCCACGATCACCACCGGCCACACCATAGTTTGTGTTACCATTTGGACTGCCAATGGAGGCGGGATTTGTCTGTGTTAGGTGTAAAGAATTTATAAATGCATCCTTTTTTTATAACATTGTAAAATTGTAAGTAGTTTAAGAAAGAGAGAGAGAATAGAGCAGATAGAACAAAGAGAGTTAGAGAAAGTACAAAATAAAACAAATACTTGAGTATTTTATTTATTTTATTACAAAAAAAAAAAAAACTGTTGCCTAACTTACCGGATTTTGATACATATGAGGTTGTAGGGATAATATCGCATTCATTTCATCCTGATCATAATTGTGTATATATTCATATATTGAGTTGCCAGTTAATTCAACCTACAAATGACAGCATTATGTATATTAACGAAAAAAAGCTCAAACTAACTAAGGATATGTAAATTTTCATAACACCAACAAAGGAACAACTTTTTCAAGAGTTCTTTACATTGTTAATGCTTGTTTGTGTGCCATAATAAATTTATGCGCATAAATTTACATTGATTTTTTTTTTCTACACTTACCTGACTTAAACCTAAATGAACAGAGGCGGTTTCTGAGATGTACATAATTTTGCCATCAGGTGCTACTACAAATATAAAACCATCTAAAGTTTGTAAAAGATGTGAACCCAATTCCTTAATAGTGGAACCTCTTTGCATGGCAGGCGAAGAACCCCAAGCTTCTCCTAAACCTATAGGAATTAAAAGAAAAACAGAGTAAGTTAAAATAAATTAATTATGTATAAAAAAATAAATCACTAAAGAATAGGGCAAAAAAACAAAACCAGCAGGATGTCATCAAAATATTTTTTAAACAATTAAAGTCATCCATTCACAGTAGGTTGTCTTTATGTCTGTCATTTTTTTCTGTATTGTTATTCTGGGTTTATTTAACAAGCAAACCTAACCACCACCCACTTGTATATTTTCCCACTTCATCATCGTCATCATTGTACTACTCATGGGAAGTTGTTTTTCTACTTTACATGCTGCTCGGTCTCTCTTTCTAAGTGGGAAACATCAGTTTTTATTATAAAGTCAAATAATATGTTTGTTGTTATTTCTTCCTTATGTTTTTTTTTTTGCTGTTCATATTAAAGTAATTAGAATGTGGAAACAAGAACATGACGAGACTACTTGTTTAAATGGGGTGGAAATTCCTCTTTGTTTTATGCGCGCCTCCCCAACCAACTCTTTTACTTTAACAAGTCTAAAGATGTCAATGATTTTTAATGATGGGTAAGCTTATTACCACCATCTATCTATCCACCTTCTTGCTGGTTTTCAGTTGATGAATGAAAGTATATAATAATCGATTTTGAAACAATTACGATAAATTCTCGATTCGTTTTTATATTAATTTATAGCAAATATTCGATAAGTTCTCAATTTATAGAAAATGTTCGATAAGTCAAATAAATTTTGCATTTTTCTGAAATAAAATTCAATAAATTATAGATCATTTTTCTATATAGAAAATATTCGGAAAAAATTTTAAAAAATTTTCAATTTATAAAAAACTTTCGATAAATTAGAAAAAATTTATTAGAAAATTTTCCTTTAAATTATCAATTTATTTTGAATAAAATAGAGAAAATTTAAAAAAAAATTCTTTAATTTTCATAAAAATTAAAAGGATTTACTAAAAATTTATGATTTTAAGAAAATTTTTGATAAATTCCTAATTTCTACAAATTATTTTCAAAAAATTTTTGATTTTTAGAAAAGAAAAATTTTCTTTAAATTTTTATTAATTTAAAATATTTTTTAACAATTTACGAAAAAATATATTATTGATTTAAATAAAACTGAGACATTTTTAGCAAAATTTTTTAGAGATTTTAAATTTATTGAACATTTTTCTATAAATTTCCAAAATTTAAAAAAAGATTTACGAAATTTTTACAATTATAAGAAAATTCTCAATAAATTATTAATTTAAACAAATATTTTAAATTTATAGAAAAATTTGCGATAATTTTTGATAAATTTTCAATAGAATAGAAAATATTTGAAAAATGTTTAATTTATCAAGAAATAAATTTCAAGAAATTTTTCAATATTTTTAAAGAATTTTGGAAAAATTTTTATTATTTTAAAAAATTTTCGAAATGCAAGATTTTCTTTAAATTTTTACTAATTTAAATTATTTTTGTAACAATTTGCGAAAAATGTACGGTGTTTTTAAAAAATATATTAAACATTTGAATTTTAAAAACTTAAAAAATTTACGAAATTTTTACGATTTTAAGAAAATTGTCGATAAATTATTTTAGAAAATTTTCGAAATGCAAGACTTTTAAATAATTATAAAAAGGTTTAGGCTAATTTTTGAAAAATTTTAAATTTGTAAAAAAATTTCGAAAGTTTTTCTATAAATCATAATAAATGTTTAAAAATTTGCATATTTTCAATAAATGTTATAAAAACTTTGCGTTTAAAAAATTTTAAAATTTGTTTAAATTCGCTATTTATTAAAAACTTTCGATAAGTTCTTAATTTATAGACAATTTTATATAAAATTTTTAATTTACAGAAAATTTTCATTTGAATTATCAATTTATAGAAAATTTTGAAAAATTCACAATTTTTAGCAACATTTTCGAAAGATTTTAGATTTCACATTTTCAATTTATTAAAAACTTTCGTTAAATTCCAAATTTACTGAAAATTATTAAAATTTTTAATTTTCAAAAAAAATTCCCAATTTAAAAATATTTATAAATTTTGTATTGGTGTTAAATATTTAAAGAATTTTCAATAAAATTTTCTATTTCAAAAAAATTCCCTTTATAGCAATTTTCCCACTTATTATGTTTTTGTTCAAATTTAACCTCCAATTACAATGACATACATACTTCCTTAACACTACTTTTTCTTTGAAAATAAACAATAATTTCCAACATATTAGCGCTTGTTTTTTTTTTGCAATCAACACATATCCAGCTGTGATTTAACAACATGATAAAACAAAATCGTCACCATATAAAATAATAATCCCCCCAACAGCCCGTAAGGGCATAAGGCAAAAACTTACAAACCATTACACATCATTTGTAATAGCCGCAGGAAATTAAAACGTGTGATACACGTACCAACAGGACATGTGACATTGAAGAGAGAGCGACAAAAAAAATTCGCAGTATAAAGAACACAAGTTCAAACGCGTGCTCTTAACAATAATAAAACCCAAAAAAACTGTCTCACGTTTAATATATAAATAATAAAAAAAAATCACTAATTGTTTAAGAATTAAATCCAGTACAGGCTTGTATGTGTATGGGGGATTTTTTAAACTTACCTTCAGGAAAAACTTGGCGCATTTTCAAATATGAGGTGGTCAAGCGTATTATGGAGGCTTTATCCAATTGTGATGTAATTGCACTTGGTAGTGGTAATAATTTGGCCAATTCGAAAAATTCCGCATTTTCCTTTTCACGTCGGGTGCGTGCCGCATTTTTGCTTTTTTCCTTCATGGCACAGGTTTTAGCTAAACCTTTAATTAAAACAAAAAAATAATTTTATTAATATTTTTATTCGTTCTATATTTAAAAACAAATTATAAATACCTAATTTATCTTGATTGCAATTTCTCATTTCTCTACGTTTATAAGTCATTTTATATTTTCAATATTTTAAAGTAAAAACTAAATATTTTCTTAAAGATCCTTGTACGTGATCTTTACTCAATGATCACCTGTTTGAGACTGTTTAAAATTCAGCATCCTCACTAGTTTTAATAAGGATTTCCTTAACTCAACTACTCACACTAATACCAATGAAAAACCTGTAAATAATTTAACTTCCTTTTTTTCCTATATATTTCCGAAAATGTTAAAACAATAACAAATATGTGCGAAATTTCACAAATACCTGTGCCTTACTTATACAAAATATAAGAATTATATATTGAAATATCATTGGTCCAAATCAGGTTGTTGTGTGAACCTTAGCAACAACAAAAAACTACATATTTAAATAACAAATTTTTCAAAAACTACCTGATCTTAAATATTAAAATAACTACCTGTTAAATTCATTTTCCACCATTGACTTTTTTTGCTCTCTCATAAAATCCTTAAGAAATATCTATGAGTAATTGAGATTTTTGGCAAATCCTTAATCTTTGACTTTTATTCATTCATAATAGAGCAAAAATGCTGTAGAAAAAAAAAACACACACACACAAGAAGTGGTTTCTTAAATGGGCGTCTTGTTGTCTATTGTTTTTGCACACGTTTACTAACCACAGGAGATTAACTTTTATAATAACCTTTACAACTAAATATATACGTATAAATATATATAGGCCAATAAAGATTAGACCAGTTACCGACCATAAGAATCCTTAGAAATCCTTTGACAAAAAATCTACATATAAATAACTTTTAGTATATACTTTTACATTACATATAGTTGCAATTGCTATTGATTTCTTTTCATCTTTTTTAATTTTTGTTTCTTATTTTCTAATAGGTGTCTTTTTTTTGGGATTTTCCATGCAACAAGTCATATTTTCATTGATAAAAATAGTTTGTACGTGATTTTAGTAAAATTTGCAAAATATTTCTTTTGTTGTTGCTCTTATTTTTTTATACGTTTACATCCTGCCTGCTGTTTTATATGTTTTTTATATAAAGTATATTATATACTTAGTACATACATATAGAAACGTTTTACCAATGCATGTTATAAATTCTTTAAACATTTTATTTAATTTTTCTTAATAATTTTTCTAATTTATTTTCAATTGAATTCTATGAATGTAATTTCATTATCCAATGAAATAATTACATTTCTCAGAAATTGTTTAACAAAGATTACGTTTTTTTCTTGCCACATGAACTTATTTTATATTTTGTCAAAAAAAAAAAATAACCAGTTAAAATTTTTCGTAAATTTCGAAAGTTCCTATATATGGACATTTTTTACTCATTTATTACATTCATGTCGAGTTATATTATATATAGAATATTAATATGAACATCAGGCTGATTTTTACAATAGGGTCTTTAATGGAAGATAAGTCAATTGTGGGACGGACTCTACAGAATTTCGAAGAGTGATTATTATCTTGAAATATATATTAATTTAACAGTTTTGAATAATTTATTGACAATAAACAGATTCTAAGTTAGAGGGGTCAATTATGGACCGATTCTCATTTGATAAAGATATTCGTATACATCTTGTTATACCCTCCACCACCATCAGTGGTGATAAGTTTGTCATTCCGTGTGTAACACCAAGAAATATTCATCTAAGACCCAACAAAGTATATATATTCTGAGTCCTTATGAAATTCTGAGTCGATTTAGCTATGTTCGTCTGTCTGTTTGTGTAAAACAGGCTCACGTTAAAACTAAACAAAGGAAATCAACTAAATTCACCCAAAATATTTATTATTATCCTAAGCAGTTTGGTAATGAAAATCAGCAAAATCGGCTCACAACGTAAAAAGTTATGAGTAAAAATTTCAGACTACCTCGAAAAATATTACGTTTTTTTCATAATTCTTTTGAAGTTTTCTCAGAAACTACCAAAGATATTTCGTCACACATTATTTTTTCAGGGCAGTGATCAATTACGTTCAAAATCTTTACAATCGATCCAATATTTCCCGTAGCCCCCATACAAAGGTATATATTCCCGGAAATTTGTTTATCGTTAATAACTCCCTCAAATATATCGCTATCAACACAAAATTTTGTTCATGCAAATATAATATGAACAGAAATCATACTATCAACGTAGAACTCAGTCGGTCCACAATTGGTCATAACTCCCATATAAGGTCCACTTCCGAAAATCACCTAAACGCACATATTTCATTGATGAATAAAGTTATTGTGATAAAATTCGACACAAATATGTTTTGTGTACATACAAATCATTCTACCAAATTTTTTAGGCATCGGTTCATTATAGGTCATAGCACCCATATAAGGCCCACTTCCGAAAATCACTTATAAACACATATTTCATTGTCAAATAAAGCTATCGTGATAAAATTCGACATAAATATGTTTTGTCTTTATATGCCTTTATATACGAAATTTTTCCGGATAGGCCCATAGTTGGTCATAGCTCCCATATAAGGTCCACTTCCGAAAATCACTTAAACGCATATATTTCATTGAGCTCTAAAACTATTTGGAATAAAATTCTACAAAAATATGTTTTGTGTACAATCAAATCATTCCACCAAATTTTTTACGGTCCATTATTGGTCATAGCTCCCATATAAAGCACACCTCCGAAAAACACTTAAAAGCACATATTTCATTGTCAAATAAAGCTATCTTCATATAATTCGACACAAATATGGACCATATATGGTAATAGCTCCTTTATAAGGTCCACTTCAAAAAAAAAAAAAAAAAAACACTTAAACGCACATATTTCATTATCAAATAAAGATATCTTGATAAAATTCGACACAAATATGTTTTGTGTAAGGTCATAGCTCTTAAATATAGAGTCCACTTCCGAAAATCACCTAAACGCACATATTTCATTAAATCTATTGTAGTAAAATTCGACTTGAATTTTTTTGGCATATAAATCATTATACGAAATTTTTTCCTTATCGGTCGATAATTGGTCACATCTCCCATATAAGGACCATTTCCGAAAATTACTCAAATTCTCATTGACAATAAAGGTTATCGAGATAAAATTCGACAAAAATGTGTATTTTGTATATATAAATCGTTCTACGGAATTTTTTTTCCGGATCGGTCCATAGGTTGTCTTAGCTCCCATATAAGGTATACTTCTGAAAATCACTTAATACCACATAATTCGTAATTAAATGATTATATCCGGATAGAATTCAAAATGAGTATGTTCTGTGTACAGATAAATCATGATATTGAAATGTTTTCAAACGGGCCTATTAATACACATTTTTCTCGACCTAATTAAAATTAGTTTGACATATATGCATATTAGTACCCCCAATACGGAAAAAAATTTTTCCCATGTTATCTAAAAATTAGATAGTTAAATGGGTTTAATAAAAAGTAGCTTGCTGGTGGAGGGTATTTAAAATTCGGCATAGCCGAATATAGCACTCTAACTTGTTTATATTCAATTTCATCGCTATACTTATATTATTTATATTTATTATACTATTTATAAACTAGTTATCAACGATAACGTCATATTCTGAAGGAGACTTTTTTGAGTCAATTATGAACCGATCGTTATAAAATTTGGTAAAAGTATTACGGTTCTTATAATACGAATTTCATATTATGCCATTTATACTCTACACTACCATAGTGGGAAGGGTACTATGCGTTTGTGTTGATGTTTGTAACGCTCAAACATATTGGTCCCACACCATGTCATGTCCGTCAATCTGTCTGCAATTTTCAAGATTTTTTGATGAAACTTTGACCATGCATGTTTTTGGGCCTAAGGACAAATGAAGCCTATTGAAAATGGTAGAAATTGTTCCATTATCTAGTATCTCTGCAAAAATCGGTTCCCACATGAAGCCTAGATGAAATCGCGGATCGATATTGCACATTTTTTACCAAACAAACCTAATAAATAGAGAATAATTTTAGTGTTCTAGCTCCTTCCCTTCAACTGACAGACATTGTTAGATTATTTTAAAATCTAATAAGAATGTAGATCTACTACCAATATTTTTATACATAAGGGTGGTCCCGTTTGTGCGGAGAACGAATAAAGCACTGATTTTCAAACTTAGTTCATTCTAACATACCGTTGGTTTATTCTACCATAACGTTTTTGTTCTGGGGCCAATATTTGTTGAGATGGATAAAAAGGTCTTTTTGCTCTTTGAGTTATAAATCATTTGATACATATTCCACTCGCATCCCACTAAGCGTCTAAAAAGCTCTTAGAGGAAAGAAGCTAAGCGTTCTTTTGAGCCAAAAAAAGAAAATATAAAGAGCCCATTATGATAAAAAAATAAAAAAATTGGCCAAATAACGATCCAAAAGAAAGATTGAAAAAATAGCTATCTAAACAGTTTAAAACAAATTTTGCTAAGAATTTGCAAATTTGCTAAGTTACAGAGAAGAGAAGAAAAACATATTTTACAAAATTGTCAAACTCAGAAAGTTCTTGACCGATCTTGTTGAAATTGCTAGTTGTGCTAATTTCATCATGAGCGGAAGACATCGATTTCAAATGTTGGGTCACTTGACATATGTATATAAAATTTCGATATTCGTATAACCAAGTTGTTACTAAGATATGGATTTTTCTGGCAATTATGATCGGACTTTGTGGATTATGAAAAGTATCTGATATATTAATCTACCGGGCATTTGGAAATAATTCAAAATAATTCAAAGATATTTAGACAGACCGCCATCACTTAAATGTTTGCTATAAATAAAGATCCTAAATAAAAATAATTTACAGAATTAATTTTTATGTATCTGCCTTATTAATTTGCTGAATAATATAATAAAATCCAGCAATTCAATATACTTAAAATAACATACAAATACA